AGCGTCCCTGACCGGATCTGTTACCCTGCCAGGCGGGGGGCAGCGCTTGAGGCTGTCCGCGGTCCAGGACCCGGATCCATGACCTGGGGGCCTGGGGGCAGTGCTTGAGGCTGTCTGCGGTCTGGGACCCGGATCTGTGACCTGGTGGGTGGGAGGCAGTGCTTGAGGCTGTCCGTGGTCTGGGACCCGGATCCGTGACCTGGAGGGCAGGGGGCAGCGCTTGAGGCTGTCCACGGGACCAAGACACGGATCTGTGACCCTGCCGGGCGGAGGGCAGCACTTGAGGCTGTCCACGGTCTCGGGACCGGATCCATGACCCTTCTCGGCGGGGCGGCAGCTCGCACAGGCGCGGATCGGCCAGGGTTGGGCTGGGCAGGACGCCTCGCTTCTGCCCAGCCCCAGTCACTCTGGGCAGGTGAGCAGCGCAGAGAGCCTCTGGACAGGGGAGGCAGGCCGACGGAGGGCAGGGCGGCCTGTACTCCCCACATGGTGGTGGTGACAGCTGTGAGAGTACCAAGCGGAGCCTGCAGGCTGAGCTGAAGTAGCACCTGCAGGCCATCAGCACCCAGGAGTGGCTGCGCAAGATCCGCCTCCTGACCCAGAAGGTGCAGGATTGCAGGGACAGCCACCGTGGCAGGCCAGACTGACATCCTCCTGGCCACACCATGGGTGTTTGCGGATCTGCAAGGCCAGAGGCCTCCGGTGTGCATATCCCTCACTGGCATGCGAACATCCCCCAGCACAGTCACCCTCCCACGCCTGCAACAGTTGCAAACCAAGGCGTGCACAAGTTCCCCCCGCCTCCCCACCACACTTCCATCAACCCAGCATGCCTAACACCCCCACAGGATGTGCACACATCCCCTCTGATGCGCTCACGTCCTTTGGAGAGTGTCTGGGTGTTCTGGGTGCTGAGGGTGGGCACCTGTGAGATGACAGTGAGAGGGTGGAGTGGTGATGCCCTGTTCCCACGGAGGCCAGTGCAGCTATGAGATCACCTCTGGGGGGGGTTAATGCAGGTACTGAGGCAGGATCCAGTGCAGACAGACACACCTGGTGGGCGCGGGAGGTCCTCACTGAGGTGCCTTCGGTCAGCGTTCAAGATCAAGAACCCAGAGGTGGAGAGGAATTTCGTCCTCTCAGTGAAACAGTGGGATAGTCAGGGCGACTGTAGAGAAGGAATGTGCATTTTCGGTGCCAATACCCATGAGCGAAGGCTGCCCTGACTGAGACTCGCTTGCTTGGGGCTAGCGCACTCCTGCCAGGTAGCAGGTGACAGGGCGTGCTTTTCTGAATTAATGAGAGAAAACGTTGATTCTCCTGCTGTCCACGAAGGTGGAAAGTGAAGTGGGGAGACATGTGGGGAGTGAGCGAGGTTCCCTGTCTGGTTCCAAATCTGCTGTTGGTTTCTTTCACCGCTGACTAGAGATATACAGGGCATCCCCCCAAAATGTATACACACTTTGAATACCTACTAATTCCAATGGTTTTAAGCATAAGAAAGAAACAACAATGGAGCTGTTATCTGTTAAAAGTGTGGGCACAAACAGGTAGTTGGACATTCCCTGAGGGGTCTCAGATTGGAAAGGGTGAAGGCCAGACTGAGGGGCCCCCCCGACCCCCCCACTCCAGTGCATGAATTTCGTGCACCAGGCTACTAGTATAATATAATACATTATGCAATAGATTTCAGTACCTTCACATTAATTCTTGGCTGTAGGAAAACTTGTTCTTTCCTACATCTTCTCCTTAAGTTCTTTAAAGGGAAGAACCAGTCTTTCTGAAGACTACTATGACAAAAATCCTCTAGTTTATGCGTTGTGTCCTAGTTCTAACAGCAAAATCTTGCTTTTCTCTCCACTGCTTGATTTTTTTATCACATTCAAAAAATTCCTCCATATATCCTGTTATGGGTAAATCATGCCCCACAAGAAAGATATCTTAGAATCCAACCGTATTTGGAAATAGGGTCTTTACAGATTAATCAAGTGGAAATCAGGTTCTTAGGATGAGCCCTAATCTAATACGACACGCATCCTTAAAGGGGATATTTGGACACAGAGAAGGACATAGAAGAGAACACCATGTGAAGATAGAGGATCAGTGTGATGCATCAGCAAACCAAAGGAAACCAAAGATTGCCAGGAAAAAAAAAAAAAGGAGTTAGGATGAGGCAAGAAAGGATTCCCCTTAGGTTACAGAGGGAGCTTGGCTCTCCCAGCACCTTGATTTTGGATTTCTGGCTTCAAGACAGTGAGACAATAAAATTCTGCTGTTTAAGCCAACCAGTTTATGGTGCTCTGCTATGGCAGATCTAGGACACCGGTACATTTCCCAAACCAAACTAATTAAAAGAAATTTTATTTGCTTTTCTAAATTTCTCTCGTTTAGTTTCTAGTTTCTTTGTGTTAAATTGGAGAAACAGAAACTAGAGGCATTGCATTCACCCTAGCTCACTCTAGTCTATTTTTCAGATAGTATCTTGGCAAAAGACAGCATAATGTAAATGATTCTGTCATTTTCAATAAATAAAGAGATGTAAAAGGCCACTTAGATAATAATTTCTCTTTGGCGGAAGTATTTTAAGGATCATCACCAAATATTTGAATGCATATTTAAATACAAGCTTCTATCGATTTTGCCCCAACAAACTACCTCGTTTGGTGATACTTCTATCATCCACCCAAGGCTGTACCCCAGATTGTCCTTCTCTCCCATTTTATCATCCTATCACTCATCAAGTCTTGCATTTGATGATGTTTCCAAAATGCCTCTGCCTCTCTAAATCATCTTTCTTCTACATCTGGCTACCTCCTTAGATTTTATTGTCTCTTTACTGATCACTTTAACAGCCATGATAAAGCTGACAGATCCACTTTGTTCCAGTGATGGCAAAGGCCACATATATCATGAAAACTCCTATCGTTCATTCTAAGTGTTTTACATACTCTAATTCACTTCATTTGGAAGAGAAAAACACAGATTAGAAAGATTAGAAATAACAAATTTAATAGAAACTAGTGAAGCTGCAATTCTATTCCATTCCACTACAAAATATATAAACTTTTTACTATATCATAAAGGCCTCTTCATATCAGCCATTAGAAAAAAAAATCATGTTGGTTATCACATAGCATTTAAGTACTTTAGCTTCTTTATTACTTGTTGATATTCTGGTTTTGATGATTTTAAAACCATTATATGTTATGTTCAAACTGCTGACGAACACTCAGTAATCAAAAGTTCCTAAAAGCCTTGGGCCAATACATCTAATTTTTATTTCATTTGCCAAATTCTTGATTAAAAGGACGGTCACCGCCAAGACAGAGAAACAGCTTGAGTCCAACTTTGGGCTTTGGTTTCTCAAGATAAATCGTATACAATGAACAAGTCTTTTTTGCCTTTTTCTTTTCTTTTCTTTTTAAAAAAATATATTTTATTGATTTTTTACAGAGAGGAAGGGAGAGAGATAGAGAGTCAGAAACATCGATGAGAGAGAGACATCGATCAGCCGCCTCCTGCACATCTCCTACTGGGGATGTGCCCGCAACCCAGGTACATGCCCTTGACCGGAATCGAACCTGGGACCTTTCAGTCCGCAGGCCGGCGCTCTATCCACTGAGCCAAACCGGTTTCGGCTTCTTCTTTTTTTTTTTTAATCCAAACAGTAGCACAATTGGCAGCTATTAGGAACCATTGACACTACTTAAAGAAGCTAATATTCATTTTGCATAGTCACCTGCAACTCAGTTCAGGTGCTACATTAATAAAGTAGTCCTCAGAAACATAGCAACAACAACAAAAAATAATAGTGCCTTTTATAATATTCAGGGTTATTATCAGCTTCAACTGTTTCATCTTTATCTTTATATAAATGCTTAATTTGTAAAGTCTGCCAACAGTGGAGATTTTTAAAGAAACACCCTAACACAGCTGCCTATTTTGAAAAGAATACTATACACTACCTTTCAGGTGAGGGCTGTGTACATGCATCCTCTGCAGGTGTAGATTTATTGGAACAAATTCTAATGTTTTCTCTCCTTTGCTGCTGCTTGATTTGAAAGAGGACCCTAGGTGAAGAGAAACTTAATATTACTAGTAAGTAAATAATGAGGACGTGTGTGTGTACATTTGCTGAAAAATAAATTTGACATAAAGAACCGTTACAAAAACTTTACGAAGAAAATATAACTATGATTTGCTTTTCTTCTCAGATATTTAAATTTTTTTTAAATTCTCAATTACCTTTACAATAATACCGTGAGGTAAAATAGTGCATTTTTTCTTTGTTATTTTTCAAGCCAATTTGGAAGCAATAGAATTATAAGATGCTTTAAAAAATATTGGCTCTTCTATGTCCATAATAATGTTTATTATTGTTTTCACATAACATATATGAAATGCAGCACAGGTTGAATATGCAGAGTTATTACTTTCACACCTGTTTCCTTGCTGAGTTCTGTCAGAATGTCTTGGTACATATTCACCATTTGATCACAGTGAGTAAGGACATTTTTCCGTAGATTGTCCCAGTGAGGAGAGAGTTCACCAAGTTCTTTTAGCTCCTGGTTCCTGTTAAGAACGGGAAATGGGACAACATTTTTATGTAAGTCCATAGACACAAATTGCTTAATTAGGGTTGTTAAACCCATAAAAAATTGATTCACCACTCCTTTTGGGAAAGCTCTATGTGCTTTTTAGGGGGGAAATAATCGTTTTAACACAAAGAAAGATATTAATAATTTAGGTCACACAAACATTAAACATATCAAAGAGAAAAAAGTGCAGGTTAATTTACTGATAAAAATTTCACAAAGCCTGGGCAGTTGTGTGTCGACCTATGAACCAGAAAATCATGGTTCAATTCCCTGCCAGGACACATGCTCCAGTTGTGGGCTCAATCCCCAGTGCTAGGGGAGTGAGGGGGGTTGCAAGAGGCAGCCGATCAATGATTCTCTTTTATCATTGATGTTTCTAACTCCCTCTCCCTTCTTCTCTGAAATGAATAAAAATATATATTTTTAAAAATTTTTCACAAAGATGGCAAAAACTATCTAATATACATAGAGGCCATTCAGTTAAAAAACCTCAACAGAAAAATGCTAAGTTCTAGGCTTTGACCATCCAAAATGAAATAAAGTGAGAAGGATAATCAGACTATGTTCGAAGGAAACATAAGCTATTCGGGTAATCTAATTTATATATAATAGAGATATAATTTTTTAAAGCCAATAAATAGTATGATCAGGTATGATTTTATTGGTCTCAGTTTCTCCCATGAGGCCAATTTAAGTAAATGTTGCATGTTTTGCCCCTTCTTTATCAAAAGAAAAAGCTAATCATGCCATTTAGGTTTTAATTATTAACTTTTATCTAATTCTCTACCCTTTATCCAAGTTAATTTAAATAATCAGAATGCCTTTTCAAATTGTAATGATAAATGGTTTTAATATGCTGCTTGGTTAAATCTCTTATTCATTTCTGTAACCTTTTACCAACAACATTTTCATGAGGCTAATTTAACCAGCAATAATGAACCTTCTTTGCTATTTTGGCTGTGCAACATGCTAAATACCAAGCTAATAAATTCAGAAGATGTAGAATCTTTAACATCCTGTTAAATGCAAGAGTAATGGATGGTGTGCAAAAATGTGACTTGGTTCCAAATGTTTGTAGCTGCCTTTGTTTTGTTTCAATGGGAGGCAATGTAGTTTTGCTATATCTTTCATTTGAGGTCTTTATAACTTTTTGAACAATCATCTCATTCTCAACTGTCCCACAGATTAGCTGTCATCACACAACATTTGTGGGAGAAGAAGTAATTAATCAATAGACAGTGAGAGTAAAGAAAGTTCATGACCAAAGATGGGGTAGGAGGGAAGGTTGAAGAATTGGGGAGTCAAGTTCTCTGTGTACACGCAAATACCAGGCTATTTAAATTCAAGACAAGCAACAACCACCACCAAAGCAAACAAATAATCCCCCAAACTGGAGATATCCAAGTTTAGAAAACCGTGGGCAATTAGGTCAAATCAAAGGATGATAGCTAGTATACTATATCAATTTAATTTGTAAGCTTTTAGGCTGTAGTTCCAATATACACTTATGATAGAAATATTAGTTAGGTATGTCTGCTTAATAATAATAGATGTTTAATACTAGTAGGTTTAAAATTTATGTTGCCTCTGAACAATTATCAGAAATAGTAATTAAAAGGAGGTGATTAGGGAGTAAAGAGAGGGAGATAGCAAAGACCCTTACTATGGTGTGGGATCCTAACATGGCATACATCTCCTTGCCTAAGAGAAGTCTAGAAGTATAGTCAGAAAAGTTTAGTGATTTGTGGGGAATGACTTAAAATATGCTGGGATTAGTCCATAAAGTTTTGTTTAAATTTTACTACACTCTTCCACTATGTCAAAATTTATACACAGGAATACATAGAGAAATCTGGCATTCACAACTTTTTTGTTCTAAGAAATGGCATTGCAATGGCACACATTCTGAAAAAGACATATAACCAACATAAGGTACCTTTGCATTAAAAACAGTCAAAAATACGGGAACTACAGAATAACGGTATCATAAACAGAGCGGAGTAATGAACAAGTTGTAAAATAAAGTGAGGCAGAGAAAGAAAGTAGCTATAAGTTTAAAAAAATAAATTCATTAGATTAATACATTAATATACATAAAAATAGAAGATAATTAGGTGTACCAAAATCAGAAAATTTTTCAATCAGGAAGGATAGAGTTTATATTATATTTTAATTTGTTACTTGGTGAACAGAAACTTTGGAGTTTAATGGTGAGATCCAACCCCAGGGAAGCATGAGGGAGGTAAGAAGAAAAGTGTTGCAGGAAAAAAGCAGCAGCAGACCTAAGGTGGTATGTTCCTGAGCTGGGCAGAACTTCACAAGAAAACAAGGCTGGTTGCTAGGTCATGTGCAACAACTCTCGAGAAGTCATATGGCACCTTCGCACCATGGAACTGCTTGTTAGATGGGGGAAGAGACATTTATATGCCACTTCCTTACCTTCTATATTTCACTGGTAAAGACTCAGCCTGTGGGATATTTACTCCTTGGCACGCCGGTTGTGTAATCTATCTCCTTTGGGTAGCCACTGGGGAAGCAATATCCCGGTGGAGACAGAACTTTCCTGGTTCTGGTCTGATATGACACAGGTGCCAGAGCCACTCTGGATCTTTCCATGTAGATGCCATGGGAGGCATGCTAATGTCTGGTCAGAATCTTCAGAGAGGCTGATACAGCTGATGGAGTTAGGAAATTAAGTGACAACAGTAACAATATATGGGGATCTCCACTGAATGAGTGGTCAAAAAGTGAAGACATATTAGGGTTGAGCCACTATAGGAAAGCACATAAACTGGGCCCAGGACGGGTATCACCTTGCACAACTCCAATGCACTTGCATCGTCTTCTGATACCCGGAGAGCATATAACACAACATTCCTCACACCTCCCAAAAGAGAAGTTCAAGTACAATTCTTCAAGGTCATACTAGTTGCTATTCCCAAGATTTAAGGAGAGGCAAAGTACCAAGCTACAATATCTAATACTCCAGCTGATCCTTGGGGCCTAATTAATAATATTAATCACCAATCTCCTCTACCATTCATTCCAGATTTTCTTCATATGTCATTGGCACTTCAGCTGGTCTGGGTTGCTGCCTTGTGAGTTCTCTCAGACTTTAATCAAAAGGGATTAGGCCCTTAGTTGTCTTGCTCATATGGAATCCCAGTTGTTGCAATTGCCCACTCATATCTGAGCATGGGGCACCTCTGAGTTCCAGACTTTTTTTTTTCTCAGGTTGTGAAACAGCAGCCTTCTTTCCTTATGACAGTAAGAATAGAATCTCTTACTGTCTTTGTTGGACCATTGTAATGAGGAATATGTGGTAACCAGATCACATGTGGAGTCAGTCATAACTTCTAGTTAAGTGGGACTATGAATTGGTCCCCTGACAGAACCTCCAAACCCCATAGCCCAAGAACAACAATTCTAACTGGAAAAGTCCAAGGTTGTAG